GATCTCGGAAGCTAAGCAGGGTCGGGCCGGGTCAGTACTTGGATGGGAGACCGCCTGGGAATACCCGGTGCTGTAAGCTTTTCTTTCTCACCTCACACCACCAGAGGCCGCTCTTTCCTCTGCAATGGAGACACCTCTTTAAAAAACACCACCACTGGAAACATTTACATGTTTTTATTTGCTAATCTGGACTTCATGCTCTGTATTATAGCCTACCTGTACTTTTACTTGATTTGTATTTTGACATTTTCAGCAATCATGTTCATCAGGCAGATGGGAGATCTCTTTGTACAGTGTGCAGAGCTGCTGATTGATACACATTTGGTGCTGTAGTGAGTACACATTAACTCAAAATGAACTACAGTGTGTGTTCATAGTGAAGAAAAAACACAAAAATATCATTTGAAAATATAACCAAAGGACTGTGTTATTGTGTGTTATAAATAGTCTTTGTATAGTTGGAATAATCTATATGGCATGGCTGATGAGGGAAATGGAAACAGGTGAGCAGGTGGAAGTGGGAGCTAACTGGGACAGAGCAAAGCAGGGGCCTGGGGAAGTGGAGACAATGGTGGAGGGACAGACTGACAGAAATAAAAACAACTGAGACAGACGCTGTGACTGCGGGCAACACAAAATGTACCAGCCTGCATGTTGGAGGTGAAACGATGAAAAACAGACTCAATAAAGGATGAAAATGAGGTTAAAACAATCTTTACCTGGTCAAATAATACAGTGGGCTAAGGGTCTGTAAGACAAGAGCAGTCACATGGAGCACACAGCATCATTCTTACAGAAGCTGTGGTTCAGAGTCAGTTTGACTTTTGCTGCCACCTCCTGGTGTGAAGGACCATCTGTCAGCTCTTCAAAATAAATGACAAAAGGCAGAAACATAATCCATGGGGACAATTTTAAAGCTCCACCCATGTCTTCATGTTTAACTCGACCATTTCAGGAAGCTGAGTGGTTAAAAAGAGGCTCAGACAGAGGTGGGACCAAGTCACTGTTTTGCAAGTCACACGCAGGGCCGCCCCTCCCTAAACACAGAACACGGGCTGTGCGTAGGGCCTCATCTTCCATGGGAGGCCACATTTTGCGCGAGGGGACGCATTTGCGCATATGCGCAATGGATGCGCACATGCGCTACCGTGAGGCGCGCGTAGAATCAGCTCGAGGAAGGAGAGAAGAGACCTGACCGCCCATGCGTCGCTGCAATGATTGACAGCACTTGACTTCTGAACAATAAGAGGGGTGCGCTGGCAGGCACTTGCTGAGCTGCAGCAGTTGAATAGTTGTCTACATGTCGTCCAAAAGAGCCTCAGGAGTATGTGCGGGGCCGGGAGGTCGGATGCTCCCAGAGAGGGGAGAAGGAGAAATATAGCTAAATAAGATGAAAATAGAAAAGAATGTCTCTGTATTTTATTTCTGTTTTCAGTGTTTAATTAAGGTGGGAGAGGCGAGGGCTGAGGGAGATCAGACGCCTCCAGAGAGGGGAGAGGGAGAAATATAACAAAATAAGATTAAATAGGAAAAACCTGTCTCCCTTTTTTATTTTATTTTCAGTGTTTAATCAAGGGTGGGGGATTGAGGTGGTGGAAGTTACTTTCTTTTGATGAGTAATTGATGGCTATTTGTGACTCTGATTTGTTTATTTATTTATTTCAGTTTGAAGTTATTTTTATTTAATATTTATTTATTTATTTCAGGTTGAATTTTTTATTTTATTTGACATTATTTATACAGCCAAACTACTGTATCTACAGTACATTTGTTATTGCCAATAAAGGTTGTCAAGTTAAATGGCAAGTTGTTGTACGGTCATTTTGTACTTATGATACATTTGGGATGGGGGCCTCCAAATAAAATTTCGCTTAGGGCCCCAATTTGGTCAGGGGCAGCCCTGGTCACACGCAAGTCTCAAGCACTCAAGTCCCATACTAAACTTTGATTTTCGAGTCCTAAACAAGTCTTACTGTGCTCTTTCCCAAAGTAATGCCATTTTAACAACAGAGTAATGATATATTACATTTTCAGAAATCATAAATACTTTTTAAAATTTGTTAAATCAAGTTTGTTGGAAGTCGTTGCATCCCTGTCTGTAATTTTGGAACTGCATGTTTTCCATACTGCAATTCCTTTTTGTTGATGAGCCATAGCTTCTGTATGCAAACAAAATACTAAGTGTTGACCTGCCTGGAATGAATAGTGTTCATTATGGTTGCATCAGGAAATAGAGGGAAATTATTTGATTTGTGGCACACTTCTTAAATAACATACTTTTTCATCTTTGGGCTTGGGGGGAGATTTCAAGTATTTTTAAGTCAAAAGGCTCAAGTCCAATTGAAGTCACGAGTCATTGGTGTTGAAGTCCAAGTTGAGTTGCATTTTTTTTTTTTTAATTTTGTCAAGTAAAGTCTAAAGTTATCAATTTGTGGTTTGAGTCTGACTCAAGTCCACACCTCTGGGGTCAGATATATGAAGATGCTGCTTACATGTAAAGCTAAATGAAAAATATTGTATTCAAGTACATTTGACTCATTGAAGATACACTTTTACACTTATACACTTTTGAAAATAGATAAAGAGAGACAGGAGAGACTAGCACAAGGCTGTTAGTTAGGTCAAAATAGACCTCATGACATAAAGCCGGTGGAGAAGATACACAGACCAAATAAGGAGAAGTTTTATGAACCTTGTGGTTTTGAACTGGGCTAAAAAATGGTTAGGAAGTGAGCTCACGAGAGCTGTGACCATTTCTCAGTATTATATGTATTCCTCTAACAATACATACACGCACAGTCACACCAAATCCCACTGTGTTATTTGGGTCAGTGTGTGCAGGTGTTAATACACCACAATAGGTTCCATTAAATGATTCAAGGGTAAACACGCTGCAATTCAACTCTAAGCAACCGAACTGTATTGTTATTATTACCACTGTGGTTGGTGCCTGTCAGGCCTTGTTTCTGTAATGCCTGTGGTTTAGTTTGAATGCGCTTCCTGCTCTCAACTGACAGCCACCTGTGTCTCATTGAGCCATGAATAAATAAATAAATAAATAACAACACTGACAGAAACACAAGTTTGGTGTTGACATGGCGTTAATGTGAGATCATCAAAATTCAGTTTATCTGAGTTGCTTTTATTGAATATTCAACATTTGTTTGCAAATCTATAAACACGCTCAAATACCACAGATGCAGATAACACTTTCATTGTTGTCAAAGCAAAACGTCTGACATCATTTCGAAACCAGTATGAAGTTTGATGTTACAGCACAAATGTATGTACGTAAATGCATCACATACAGTAAATACTGTATAAATGCATCATATATACAAGAAAAGAAAAAAAAAACAGAACCAGAATCAAGAATTATCAGAACATACACAAAAAACATGTTATTTATTATCCTTCTATAAGTGATACACAGTTACAGTTCATACTCAAATTGATTTACATTAACCATTATCACCACCATCAGCACCTTTACTATCTACATTATTATATCTAAGTTAGCCATTTGTCATATCTCTACCTAATAGCCCCATTATGAATCTATGGATGAAAGAATTTAGAACTATACTTGAGAACTCTACACGTACTGTAGACACGCAAACCACCCACACATTTACCACCAGCCCCGCCTGTTAAGTTTGTGGTTTTTGCCCACATGCAACCTCTCGAAACAGTCTCACACAACCTTCAATAATATCTGCCCCAGATTCTCATTGTTTTCAAAAGCTACATTTGCTGGATTGCTACAAAAGCAAAAAACATACGAATTGTGCTTTATGGCAAATTCAGAAAAAAACAACAATCTGACTGCTTAAAGCTGTTTCAGCCTCCAGCACCTCTGTATTAATCATACTTCTTTTTGCATCTCTTTCATGCTATAGTTTTAGCACTTTATTTTGTTTGTTTCCTACATTTTATTTGTAAGTAACACAGAATATAAACCCCAACAAGCCCAGGCAAATACAAAAATTTCAAGTAATGCAATTATCAAACATTATTAAAGCATTCATTTTATTAACATGTGATAAAGCAGTCAAATACAAACAAAAAAGCACACAAATATTAAAGTTCGAGTACTGACAATCAATACTAATAATATGAAGAACAATTTGAGTTTGGTGACACTTTCACAACAATTAAACGCTTTAAAGAGATTTAATAATCCATGTTTAGCTGTTAAACATGTCTTCTACATTTTGTCTCATGTGTGATTGAAATCATAAGTAAAGTAAACCAAGCCTGACGCCCTGTGTCTTTTCCTAAACACTGTTCTTTATGTTAAATGGAAAACAACATGACATCAAGGAAAGATGTGAAGGAGAATTTAAAAGGGCTTAGGAAAAGACAACTGCGATGCTCAGAGAAAACGACTGTACACTAGACTCCGTAATTATGCAACGGCAGATGTTACTGATGTAGGTCCGCTGTTGTGAAACTACAGTGTTCCGCAGATGGGCTACTGAAAGTGCATCTTAGATAATTCCAGCTGTTATCTTGTTGTTTCACGCAGGCTATGTGAATGTGGAAAACCCAATGAAAAATATGACTTCATTTTCGAGGCTGGAATTGAAATTAAAAAAAGAAATAAGCCACAAAAGTGAAATGAAACAATTGTCACGCTGAGAATGGTTACTTACACTCACCCTCACATCAACTCCCCTATTATGTTCAGGTCAGATTAAACCTGTTTCAAGATATAATATTTCATAAATAAACTAACCTCACCCTAAACTGTTTTCCTAATCTTCACCTGTTTGGAAATTGCAATACTGAACTACCATTGAAAAACATATAATAAATGTTTTTCTCCTTTTTTATCCTCTGTTTTCTTCCTCTTTTAATTGATTAATTAATCAGTTGACATATTCTTATTATGTAAAATTAAAGGCTGAAATATGTGTGGGAGTTGTTCTCCATACAAAATAAAGCACTCTGGTAGCTCACCGGATAGAGCTCTTAGAGTCATGATGATTATCCTCTAACCTAACACAAAAGCTCATGTTATAGGCTTATACAGTGCTGGGGAACTTTTTTTTTTTAGCTTACATTATGTGTTATACAGAGCTGGGGAACATAAGACCCTAGGAGGATAGGAATGACCCTGTTCAGTGAACCCTAAGCTAAAGGAGATAAGAAAGGAATCATTAAAGCATCTTTCCTTTGCATGTAGAGAATTCAGCAAGCTCTTATCACGGCTGCCACTTAGATACCCAAGCCAATAATATTTGATGTTAAGTAATACTAAGCAAACTGACTCAGGTCTGGCGATGACTCCTCCAGAGCAGTGTGGAGGCCAGTCTTGGTCATGATTTCATACACATTATCATTGGAGACCTGCCGGACTCTTGCTGCTGTTGTTCTTTTGCTGCGCTTCCATCGTCTCACCTGTTAGTGGTTAAATATCACTGTATGAAAGCATGAAGGTGTGTACAGGTAGCAGAAAATTACAGTTATTATGTTTAAGGGGTAGTTTGTTTATTCAAGACCAAAATTGGAGAGAGACTGACGTTAACGGTAGAAAAATATTTTAATAGATATTTTAATATGGGATCCAACATCACAGACTATAATCAGTTTAAAAGGAAGCAATTCAAAGGCTGCAGCTCTTTAACTGTGTCGCTGATGATGCTAGTTTTCGTCCAGGAGAAATGGCAGAGCAATTTAAAATATAACATCAATGTAAACAAAACTTCTTCACAAGTGCTTGTGATGATTTTTCCATTGAGGTTAGGGCTGGCATGATATCAGATTTTTACTATGCAATTATCATGTCTAAACGAGTATGTGATAATGATACTACTGTAAATAAAAAAAAGGGGGAAAATAACAATAACAATAATGCTATCAATCAAATTAATCTTTATCTTTGTTCACTGTGCATTTTGTCTCTTTTTTTACAAATGAATTACACTCAAAATACGAGTGTAAGGAGGTGAAGAGAGAGTCTGTAACTATAGAAACATCTTTCAAACAGAGTAATTACACCAAATGTAATGTCAAAAGGCAACCAGATAGTGTTAAGGGCAGCAGACAAAGGGAGAACAGGAAAAAAAAACTATTTAAGTGGTGCTGAATTATTTACAAGATATTATCATATGTGTATTATTAACATGATATCAATATTATCATTTTTAAATATCATCAGCCAGTATATGGCCATACCCCTATTTAGTTAGTACAAGGACTGGATGTCTTTCTGCAGGTAAGTAAAAACTTGTAATGGTAAGAGGAAATGTGTGTGTCGTCAGTATAAAGAAAAATTTATACTCAGGGCAGCAGAGGGGAATAAAAATGTTTGATTTTTAAGATATGACATTTGTATTAGTATATTTATTTGTGTAAGGATCTGCAGAGTATGCTCTGACACTGACATGTCCTTAATGGTTCAGCGTGTCGAGCACAACCGAGTAAAAAGGTGTTTCTATTCAAGGAAACCTCTCTTACCAAGAGACATGATATATATCTCGAGACAACGTTGGAAGAAATAGGAACAGAAGTGCAGTGGGTTTAAAGACACTGCACCCACATCCTGCAGACAGAGCGTTCAGTGGTTTTCTATGCAATTAGCACGCAAACTTAAGATCTTACACCTTGGGTTTACAACCGTTTGGTAGTTTCAGAAGAATGCAGTGTGATAAACTGATAAATGTGTGCATGTAGAGTGAATAATATCTGGAGACACTCAACCACAACCGAAGCTAGCAGGCCGCAGTGATGAGTCGACAGATCTGAACTCACCCTCGGGATGATTAGTATGATGTTGATCACGATAACCAGCATGCTGATGGTGCAGGCGCCGATGATGATTAACACCAGAGGTGGACTTTTCTCACTAGTGCGGGCACAAGGCACTTCCGCAGATCTGGAACACGGTGCCACTCCTGTGTGAAATGAAGGCAAACATGGGTTATACCAAATAAAATGTCTTCATGCAAATGTTCCTGCAGCCTTTCATCTACTGATAACATTACTTTTAAATTCTCAAAATGACAGTGAATTCACCATGGACCCGAAGGAGGGGTCCTCTAAAACTAAAGCAAGGTAGATATTCTATTTGTATGTAGATAGACAGACACATTCTGTAGTTAAGGATCATAATAAGTAGGAAACATGGTCCAGTAGTCGTGGAGTATTTGAAAGTATTCAGTATTTAAATCCTTTGGTGGATGACTGCAGCAAATATTTAAGCTCCACTTTAATACTTTTCTAACTACTGGTGTTTTATAAGTTCAGAAGGGAGATAAAACATTTGATGAAAATCAGATTATATTACTTTTACACATAACAAACATTAACCCATTTTATATTCTGTTAAGTATCTTTACAAATGTATCATATTTAATAAACACATCGTATGTGTTGTATGTCAAATCGTTGTCATAAGTAACTGAGGACTATAGCTATCAAACTTGTAGCGAGGTAAAAAGTACCTTTCCCAGCATTTTTTAGAATACATTGTATGTGTGCACTGTAGGCTTTGAGATGAAAAAGGAAAAACGCACCTCTCACAAAAAGTGTGTAGGCGTTGCATTCCACTTCACTTGGAATTTTTGTGTAGACACATTTGTAGACACCAGAGTCATCCACGGTCAGACTGCTGATGGTGATGGTGTGGCTCTGCAGTGATCCTTCTGTCTGAATCCTGCCAGTGTACCTCTGTCCTGGGGTTGTTCTGACATTTAATTCTGTATTGGAGAAATAGTAAAGCACCTGTTGTGGTTCCTTCAGATCTTGATACTGATAAAGATACATCGCATCATATCCTTTGATGCTTGTGGGACATCCTGCGGAGGAACACTCCAAGGTGACATTCTTGCCGGACTCTCGCCAAACTGCATTGTTCTCTGTCATAAACAAGACAAGCCGTATGATTAGAGGGTTTAAAATGATCTCATACCATCTACGCAGTATATCAGGAAGCAGCAACTGAAACTATTTTTGCACAGTTTAAAAATAATCCTCTCAACTGGTCTAGTGAAAATTGTTGCAATTAGACTTGAACTATGGCAAAATGTTCTTAAAATGTTTAAAGAAAGGTAAATGGTCATACCAGCATTGGCAGAAAGACAGAGAAACAGTGTGAACCAACAGAGGTGCATCATCTCGCAACACTGACTGCATACTGTCTGTGTCTTAGACATACACACACACACACACACACACAGATACATAGCATGGTAAACATTGCTTCCTTACTGTTTGATGTGGGGTGATGATGTGCAACCTGTGAGAGAAAATCTTTTGATTTCAGTCATTTCCTTATGGGCCTTCGATAGTGATGTGACCTTTAGCGTGCATACAGTGCTAAGACGTTGAAAACTACTATGAAAATGTGTAGATGGAAGAAAAGGGAAAGCTAGACTACACCCACAACATGACTATTTGTAAATCGATTAGTCATACCGTGTTAACTAATGAAGGAACTTTGTTTTTCTTGTATGCCTCCACTGAAAACAGCAATGTATTGATTCACTGATTGCGGACCACATTTAACAATAGCAAAACTATATCAAAACAACAGTTTACAAACTCTAACACAATTTATACAGTATAATCCAAGTCTCATTTATCCAGTCGTATGCTCAGTACTGCTGCTGAGTGCATACGACTGGATATATAAGACGTGGATTATATCAGAGGTGTGGACTCGAGTCACATAACTCAGACTTGAGTCACCAATTTGATGACTTTAGACTCAACTTTTCAAAATGATAATTAAAAAAAACTTGCAAATCGACTTGGACTTTAACACCAATGACTCGTTCTCACTCAGACTTGAGCCTTCTGACTTGAAAAAAATTACAAATTATGTAATTAAAAAAAATCTTTCACTAATCAATTCATTTTCTTCAGTCCTAAATCAAACATTTATTTATTCCGAGCAAGTCAACACTTAATTCTTCAGATCCACTTTGTTTGAATCAATTTGGCAACATTCAGTCAAGTTGTAGGAGAGAACCATGAAGAACTAATATATAATCATTTTGTAAATTTTGATATTTTTACTCTGTTGTTAAAATAATATTACTTTTGCTTACATTATGACTTGTTTAGGACCCAAACCTCAAAGTTTAGGACCTGGCACTTGACTAGGGGACTTGCCTGTTGTGACTTGAGTCTTGAGTGTTAAGACTTGAAATTTACTTGTAAGCTGCAAAATAATGACTTGGTCCCACCTGTGGATTATACTGCATGAGTTGTGTGAGAGTTTGTGAATGGATGTTTTGATATTGTTTAGCTGTTGTCCAAGTTTTCTTCACAAATTTAGGGTAATACAGCCTGACTAATTCATATACAAATGGTCATTTTGTGGGTGAAGTATTCTATTAGGTTGAAAAATGTGTCAAAGGTAAAAAAAAATGAATGCACCATAAATAATGAATGCTAATGGAAGTTATATAGAACAACAATACACTTACCAATTTGAATTAAATGTGCAGGTACTATGTGTGCCTATATATAAACATTATATACTGTATTTATATAATGTAAATAAATATATTAAGAGTTCTAAAAAAAATGCATTCTGTTAAATGTCAACTTTTTGATATGTCACAGTCACATGAAATTAGTTATGACTGCTTTAAAGCTGCTTTAGTCTAAGGTCACTGTATTGCACATTCTGGCTCATTATCACATTGTCATGGTTTACGGGGACACTTGACCATAGACATAATTAATGTTATTAGTAACACCTGAACTTTGCTACCATGACAAGTAAAAATGTCTGCTGTGAAAAACACTCATTATTCTTCATAAGCTATTACATTAAATTGGGTATATTTTGATTGTAATAAACGTAATCTGCATCTGATGAATTGTCTTTTATCAATGCTCTTACTTAGCTGACATTTCAGATCCATTCCTCCCCACTAGTGTTCCTCACAGTGATTCAGTGATTCTCCCACTGTCGACACACCTACTCATCATAGACTTTTCACACAGGATTGTCATACTGTAGCAGGAAAAGCAAAGGTGTTACTGATGACATTTAAGATGAGTGCCTTCAGTTTAGATGAGCTGTAGTACCCGTGTCCTTGTATTGTTACTGCTGGCCCACTGGCATGGCTTACCAGGACACTTTGATGTTACTAAGACAGGAGTCAACAACCTTTACTATGGAAAGAGACACTGGCCAAAAAAGCTCTAAAATAATCTGCCTGGAACCGCAAGTTATATTTGAGCCTTATAATGAGGAGAACAGTAAGTCTAAATACACTCATTAGCATTACTAATGGGTCTAAATAAGCCTTTATTAATATGTTACCACAAGGTGGCTGCTCTACAATGGGCTTTTATGATTGTTTGGTATTTAAACTTTGAATGAATGTGTCAGCACACTGTTAAATCCTCTATTGTCCTCCAAGACTGTTTTTTTTTTTTTTAATTTATTTTTTTTATGTGGAATCCATAGCTAGCTTAGCTATGACAAGCCATTGGTATTGAGGTTTGGCAAAATTAAAAAAAAAAAAAAAAAGCTATAAGCCGTATGATGCATATTTTGTTGATGAAATGTAAATGTAAATTTTTATTTTTTTTATTCTGTGAATAGGCTACACATTTTTACAATGGACGATGTAACAATCACTCAAGGTCTTTGACAGTGAAAAATGAAAATTACAATGTTAAATTAAAAAAAAAAAAAAAAAAAGCAGTTATTTCTACATAATTTTTTTGTCAAAGCCACAGGGAGCCACTGGAGAGGGCCACAGGTTGCCTACCTCTGTACTAAGACATCCTCAATGAAATTTGTTTCACCTGTGTTTTTCCTGCTATGACCAGTCAAGATGTGTGTTGTGAAAAAGGTCTATGGCCCCATTAACCCAGCAGTATATCTACCTGACCAATAACTCTAGCTTGTTTCATAATAAGAGGTGAGATCACCCCCTGGTGGAGGGTTTTGGGGCAGTCACTCCTCTTCTACCTACCACACTGCAGTTCGACTGATAATGAGGAACAAGAGTGCACCCCTGCTCTCTACACAAAGTGCATTCCTCTCAGGGTTCAGCTCTTGTTTATATATTATATAAATGCAGCCTTAACAGACTTTCTTTTCATCTAACCACACAGATGTGGGGCTTATCAAACTCATTCCTCAGTCTGGCTCTAGATGCAGGCCCCAACAATGAAAATGGATCTTAGAAAATATCTTCCTTCAAAAACTAATTAGGAATTATTCACAAATGATACTGAAACTTGATTCTGAGTAGTTTCATTAAAATCTTGACCTATCACTATAACGTAATACAGTTCAACGGCACCAAAAAATCCCCACTTCCTCACCTTGCTTGGACCACACCCATCTTCGAAACAATCCTTCATTGTTACCTACACTGCATACCTGTAACGTTTTGTGACTTCATCTTGCATTGTTGGGACCAGTACAAAGATGTTATCTGCCCTTGCCACCATGTTAGCAGTTTTTTTCTGAGTGCTTACACACTAACATGGATTCTTAAAGCACTGCCTTCCGATGCATTTACCAAGTGTTCCAAACTGAGTGCACGTTATCTGCTTTAAACTCAGTTTGCAGTTTAATAACACACTTGTAGCAAAACTGTGAACATTAGTCTCTACATGATTTTATTATTTCATCTAAATTAGGACTTGTTAAACTATGAGAAAAATATATTGGTCCAGCTCAGGATATTATGATTTAATAATTTGTAACAAATTCTTTGCATGTGACAGCGACCAAATGTCCACCCTGTTACACGACATTCTCAATTTATATGTGTTTTGAATGCACAGTTATTATAATAGTCATATTTTTCTAAGAGTTAAAGTGTCCCTTAATTTATCCTTGAAATATTTTTAACAAGTATTCACAAACAACCATTGTTTTGAAAAATTCTTACTTTATTTTAAGGCAACATCCAATTTTAACACACTTCTTTTCAGATTAAAGGTCGTTTAAATGGACTTTGGCCCCATTTTAAAGTGATTTCATTTTGCCAATTCACAGCATGTAAGTAACCACTAAGTCATGAGTAATATTTGTTGAATTTATTTAATTATCATCAAAAAACACACAGGTAACAGGGTGGACAGAGGAGTGACAGAGTGGAACTTGCATCAGTGAACACCAACAAATTTCATTAAAGAAAATAGGAAAATAAATTTAAGACTCACATGAACATTTGACAATGTATGTGAACAATTTTAAACATTACTTAACAGCATTAGTAACAACTATTAATCATTAACACTGCCATTTTAAAGTCCCCCTCCAATACACACACAAGTGACAATAACAACACATTTCACTGAAGTAAGGCAGTTCCTTCAACATTTGCATAAACATTACAATTGTAAACATTTACTTTAACCGCTTACTTCACTAGGGTCTGACACTTTCTTTTTCCTTCTTTTTCCTTCTTTTTCTATGTCCTTTAAAAGTATATAACTAATAAATTAATAATAAATTAATGATAAATACCAATACATGATGGAAACACTTATCATATCCCTACATCTAGCTACATCTAGCTCTCTTATGTCCTCACAGCGGGGACATTTTATGCTAAAGTTAGCCATGACTTCTCATATGTTGAAAAACAAACTAGCACTTGGTGACAACTTAGGAAGATTTTTAACATATGTATCAACCATATTATGAAAATTACCCAAAGGTATCGATTTCCACTATAAATAAATGTAACAGGATGGACATGATATGCTTTAGCACATCAGACAAGCATTCTAAAATGTTAGAAAAAAGGTTGATTTAAGAGAGATACTTTGCTTCTTGCAGAAGTTTTCCCCTCAAAAAATGTCTGCTACTCCCTGAGTCATGTGACAGTAGAAGAATAGTCAGGGGGTGTGTCCAGGGGGACTTGCATCCGTAATGGGGGACAGTGGACTCAGGGACACATTTTAGAAAAATGGAATGGAATAGAATTAAAAATGTATTAATAATGAAAACTAAAATTTGGTGAGACATATTATAAAGAGGGCTATACAACAATAATGAAAAATGTTTAATATGTTTGATTTCTATTACATATATTTGTAATAGGAGTTGCACGACCTTGATTGGGGACATGGCATTTTCACCTGCTTGTGCTAAATTAGAGTATTTATTTCAAATTTAAATAATCCTGCGTACATATCATTCTGTTCTATGGTAGAAATGGGTTAACCATGTAAGACAAGCTTTTAGGAACAAGTATAAGCTCATTACACAGCTTATATGCTTATTACACAAAATATACCACATTATATCATGGGGACTCAAATGGCACTGAATGCTAGGAATGACCATAAAGAGTTTTTATCTACGGTTAGTGTGTAGTTGCTGCTTTGTGTGCTTATTCAAATGATGGTTTGCATGTACTGTATTTACATAGAAACACTATTTTGCATGAGAGTCTGAAAGGGTTTGTTTGCCTTTGCAGGAGATGTATAATGTTTTGCTGGTTTGGTGTAAGGTTTGTAGTTAGTGTGTAAAATTTTGCAAAAATTGTCTATTATTTCAAAGATAGTGCCTCAGCAAAAAACTGTAATATATACGTACAGTACAGGCCAAAAGTTTGGACACACCTTCTCATTCAATGCGTTTTCTTTATTTTCATGACTATTTACATTGTAGATTCTCACTGAAGGCATCAAAACTATGAATGAACACATGTGGAGTTATGTACTTAACAAAAAAAGGTGAAATAACTGAAAACATGTTTTATATTCTAGTTTCTTCAAAATAGCCACCCTTTGCTCTGATTACTGCTTTGCACACTCTTGGCATTCTCTCCATGAGCTTCAAGAGGTAGTCACCTGAGGTGTTTAGCACTTGTTGGCCCCTTTGCCTTCACTCTGCGGTCCAGCTCACCCCAAACCATCTGGATTGGGTTCAGGTCCGGTGACTGTGGAGGCCAGGTCATCTGCCGCAGCACTCCATCACTCTCCTTCTTGGTCAAATAGCCCTTACACAGCCTGGAGGTGTGTTTGGGGTCATTGTCCTGTTGAAAAATAAATGATCGTCCAACTAAACGCAAACCGGATGGGATGGCATGTCGCTGCAGGATGCTGTGGTAGCCATGCTGGTTCAGTGTGCCTTCAATTTTGAATAAATCCCCAACAGTGTCACCAGCAAAACACCCCCACACCATCACACCTCCTCCTCCATGCTTCACAGTGGGAACCAGGCATGTGGAATCCATCCGTTCACCTTTTCTGCGTCTCACAAAGACACGGCGGTTGGAACCAAAGATCTCAAATTTGGACTCATCAGACCAAAGCACAGATTTCCACTGGTCTAATGTCCATTCCTTGTGTTTCTTGGCCCAAACAAATCTCTTCTGCTTGTTGCCTCTCCTTAGCAGTGGTTTCCTAGCAGCTATTTGACCATGAAGGCCTGATTGGCGCAGTCTCCTCTTAACAGTTGTTCTAGAGATGGGTCTGCTGCTAGAACTCTGTGTGGCATTCATCTGGTCTCTGATCTGAGCTGCTGTTAACTTGCGATTTCTGAGGCTGGTGACTCGGATGAACTTATCCTCAGAAGCAGAGGTGACTCTTGGTCTTCCTTTCCTGGGTCTGTCCTCATGTGTGCCAGTTTCGTTGTAGCACTTGATGGTTTTTGCGACTCCACTTGGGGACACATTTAAAGTTTTTGCAATTTTCCGGACTGACTGACCTTCATTTCTTAAAGTAATGATGGCCACTCATTTTTCTTTAGTTAATTGATTGGTTCTTGCCATAATATGAATTTTAACAGTTGTCCAATAGGGCTGTCGGCTGTGTATTAACCTGACTTCTGCACAACACAACTGATGGTCCCAACCCCATTGATAAAGCAAGAAATTCCACTAATTAACCCTGATAAGGCACACCTGTGAAGTGGAAACCATTTCAGGTGACTACCTCTTGAAGCTCATGGAGAGAATGCCAAGAGTGTGCAAAGCAGTAATCAGAGCAAAGGGTGGCTATTTTGAAGAAACTAGAATATAAAACATGTTTTCAGTTATTTCACCTTTTTTTGTTAAGTACATAACTCCACATGTGTTCATTCATAGTTTTGATGCCTTCAGTGAGAATCTACAATGTAAATAGTCATGAAAATAAAGAAAACGCATTGAATGAGAAGGTGTGTCCAAACTTTTGGCCTGTACTGTATATAATATATACTGCATATGTACATGCATATGGGATATTAATGATCTTAAAGGAATCATTCAGCAAATGAATGAAAAATATTATCCTTATAGACATCAATTAAATGCCACTTCTAATATATTTACATATTTATTTTAATTTTGTCAAACAATCTCAACTAAAGGTCCACTTACTTGTTACTGTTGGAGCTTTCAACCACACTGCAAGGTCTTGATCAAAAGGTAAAGGTGATTCAGTGCCACAAATCAGTTTTTAATGTAGTTTGCCTGCACTGTTATGGCCTAGCAACATGTTGCTATGTTATGTGTCCAATAGATGGCAGGACTGAGATCAATTTCAGGCTTTCAAGATCTGAATTCTGACATATTTATCCTAAATACTGATCAAAATGATGTCATAATGTGTGACATGTTGTATTGCTGAGCAGCAAAAATAATGATAAGAGCTGATCCAGAGTCAGAGGCTTTAAAAAACAGTCTGGCAGGCAGGTTTAGTAAACCAGTGATCACCATTAACTAGTTATACAATATCAGTTACAAAGACTTGATAACAATACACTTTTATTTACTTTTATTAGTTGAGAGAACAAAAAGGCTGGATAAAAAAAATTAAATGTGTGCAAGAATTCCTTAATTTCCTTTGATGGTTTTATCACGAGACATGTTTTCCAGGAAAGAGGAACAAGGGTGAACACTACATAAGGATGTTGAGTGTGAACACAAGTTTGATCAGATGAGGTCACAATGGAAGCAGTCAATATGTCTAGAGCCGTTACTGCATTGCAGACACAGTAAACACAACTTGGACATTTCTTTGGAAATCATGTCATAGTATCGGTGTTCCCTTGAAACTGAGGGGAATCACCAGGAAAGTGACGTTGGTTCTTTTCATGTCTGGACACATGCATCAAAAATACCATTAACAAGAACTGCCATGTCTGAAATACAGTGGTGGAAAGGAAAATAAATTCACTCAGATTTACTTTAGTACAATTTTGAGCTATCTGTACTTCACTTGAGTATTACATTTTATGCAACTTTATACTTCTACACTACATGTCAGAGACAGATTTTGTACTTTCTAGCCACACCATAATAATCTAACAGTTGGTAGTTAATTTTCAAATTAAAATTGTAAATTTCAAATAATGCATTGTCATGGAATAACCACCTAACAGTATATAAATTAATTACAATCACAAACTTCTGCAAACTAAATTAAATTTTATGCTTTAATTAATCAGGAATAATTTGAAAATATTGTATATAATACAGCAATATAACACTGACAAGAGCCAATAGAACTTTTATTCTTGATACTTTAATACATCACATTATGTTGCTAATACTTTTATTTAAGTAGAATTGTAAATGCAGGACTTTCACTTGAGTATTTCTACAGTATGGTGTTCCACCTTTTACTTGAGTAAAAGCTTTAAATACTTCCTCCACCACTGCTGAAACATAATCTACACAAGTGCACAATAAAAATAAAAAGAAGCACTCACAATCCTCTTATTTTAAAACATGTTTTATTACATGAAAAAAAAATCACAGTTCAGTTCAGACAGTGCTAATTATTAAAACACAACAGTTAAACACAGAATTACAATATTCACAGATTTACAAAACAGTACCTATCTACAACAATGTCCTTAAAATTTCCTTTCCTTATCCTTTCCTTTGTGTTTCATTAAAGGATACCTGTGGGGTTTTCTTTAATATCCTACATAAACTCCTATATTAAAGACCTTTAACCTTTTTTAATGACCTTGTTTTCCTCTCTCCAAAAAGTCAATGATTAATGGCTATGGCTTCGTGTCAGGCAGTCAAGATTAATCATATACTTTTGCGGATGTCGATAAGTTTTTTTTTTGCTGTGTGACTCTTTACTTTGTGGTGTCAGGACAAAGCTTTTATTACAATGTGATCTGCTCCATTACAGAGCAGGTCTTAGATCAGGCGTCATGATCCCTGAAAATATGAGCAGCTATTACTATGAGGGCTGGTGTCGGGTGAGGATCAGAATGAAACCTAAAACCTGTTAAAGATGGTGAAGATAAGTGTTGATCTGGCAGTGAAGTTGTATACGTCTGCCAAAACTTATATAACAGTTTCATAAAAGACAGTTAGAGGAACACAAAACATGTTTTTGGCTTTGATACACCACACTGTATTTTCCAATAGCTAGTCAGTGACAAGTGAGAATCGTGTGACATGTGGAAGTGCGACTAGCATTTATCTTGTGAACTTTCTCAGTGGTAAGAAAAAGGATATGAAATTTGCTGGGGCGGAATGTTCTCAGTTAGTGAGCTGTAGCACCAGACTTAAAGACAGATCCACTGATATGATTATTTGTCTATAAGCAGAAAATAACCAGTGTTCTAAATCCATAAGAAATATATGAATAAAAACCCTTCAAGAAAAAGGCAAAATCTATATTGAAAATAGCTCTAAGCAAATACACCATTTACTCCTGAAAAACTTTTGCCAAAAGCTAGCACTCAACCAGGTAGCAAAACTTGGTTCCCAAAACACTCCAGGAACATATTTTGGTGGGTTCAACATTCTTAGAACATTGTGGGAGGATTACTGAAATAGAAACCTGGAAGGAACCTTCCAGGAGTGTTACAGGAACGTTTTATGTTAGCTGGGCAGCTGTTGACTACTACTACTGAAGCTTTTTTACACATAAAACAACAGGTAATGCTTGTGAACCATTTATGATTTACATTTTCAGTAGGAAGAATTGAAATAGCACACTGCTGCTTTTGGTCTTTTCCAAAGACTGGTTAACAGTCAGAAAAAATAGTTTAACTCTAGTTATGGCTGAGTATCATTTAAAAAATTAGGATACGAATACCAAGACTGATACCAGTTGAGTACTTCATTTGCTAACCATAATGTGGATAGAGTGGCGTGTAGCATAGCCACAATTCTGAACGTTTTGGTGGCACCTCGGCACGCCAAACTGCCAACTCTGTCGAATACACCGCGCTCAACTTCACCACACCCCAGACTATAGGGGTTGTTGCTGTTTCTGCGGGACTGTGAGCTCCGCACCAACACTGAGTCTGCCTGCATACACACAGTGACAGGGCTAACTGTTAGCATCACATCGCTAACAATTACCCAATAGTTATTGACAGGTTTAACAACAGAACTGAGCTGTTTCTGTATTGGTGTGAGTTTGTTGGGACCATTTAACGGCTCAGTGTTGGGTGCTAGCCACTGCTGCTATGTTAGCTTGTGCTAACTAGGCAGATGCTGGACCGACTGTTTGCCATGAGGTGCGTGGCTCTGGAGATGGTAGTAACGTAAAGTTTGCTGATCCACAGGGAAGTCTGGACGGTTAAGGATCAGAACCCAAAGAGGATCGAATGCCAGTATCATTCGACCAGAGAAGTTTCTATGCTACCTGGTAGCCTACTGGATTTTTTCGGTTGATACCTTAATGTGTCGAGTACTGATACCCAGCCCTAACTTGAGCCTTGTCTTTTAATACGTTCACAGAACTTGGACTACTTATAAAGTTGTGGAATGTCAAAAAAATAAAAATGTTAGATCTGACTGAAGAATCTAAATTATATACGTTTCCCAAGAATACATGACCACACATAAAAGCCAAACACACACACACACACACACATGACTCAACATTTCCCTTGTAACGCTGACATAATATGACAATAGGAAGTCAGAGGGAGGGCCACTCCTACCAAGCTGCCAAAGGCTACAGTTACTAAGTTGGCATAAATGAACAAAATGTTTTCCTCCAATAACAAAAACATATCAGAGATTCACTGCAATCATAAATTCACTATAAAATCAGTTTTCTGTGATATTACATGTTGAAAAAGATTTTTTACTTAGTAAGCTTAGATGAATAAAAGTGCCAATGGGTCCTCTGCTAAATCTCAGTGATACAAGTTATTCCTGTTTATATACACAACCGTGTGCAGATGGGAAAGTACAATGATAGAGTAGAGATCAGCAAACAAGGAAGTGTTGATTTCAGAGGTTGCCAGTGAGTTAACATAAGTCATGTGACACGCAGTGTCTCCTGCAGAGAGAGAGAGAGAGAGTGAGACAGAGAGAGCTTTTAGATATTTGATGTTGTCTTGTAGTCTGCCAGTATACCGTAAAAATGAAATTGAAACTAACTACTACACAACAAACTAACTCTCAGCTGTTTGCTTGGAGCATTATAATTACCTCAGGCCCGGCTGCCATGCCATGTTTCACCAATCTCCTCAAGATCACCTGCAGAAATATTTCATATTAAAGTCTGAATTCAATCTTATAGAGTATATCTGAAAACAAAGTTCTATTAGTTGAACACAGTGAGTCAAAGTACTGTGATTTAGACATACCTTCCTCAACATGAGAGCCACGATCTGGGACTTGATGATGTCCACCTGGAACAAATTAAAATGTTTTACTGTGTGACTGCAATGGGTGGGTGTAAAACCATCACCGTTTTAAGCAAGTTTGTAAGCAGAGGCAGATTTCACCAGTGACTGTCCGACCCATGAGTCAGGTTACAGTGTGATTCATAAACTGATTAGTAACCAAGCCCATTTTCCACAAGCAATGGAAAAATAATAAACCTATTTAGTGTGGTAAATATCACTGTATTTCCTCATGCATCTTTAACGTAAGAGGAAAGCCAGTAAGTAGTTTAGGTAAGATGATAAAGCCTTGCAGAGAAAGTAAACCTTTCAGGTCAGCAATCAACATGTGCTCCAACTGAGTTAATGAATAAGGTTCAAAACACAGCAGGAGAACATGCCTCAACAGGTCTGGAATGAGATCAGAAATATGTCTGTGGTGAGTGAGTTTGGTGTCAAAATATGCAGTCCAGGAGGCCACTGATTCAACTATTCATCAGTTAAAAAAGAAAAAATTCAAGCAAATTAAAGAAGAGGTTCATTTAGATTCATTTTAGCCAACTAAAACACTCTTTCGCAGGTACTGGGTGTTTCAGGAAGCTAAAACTAACAGATACAAAAAAATCAATAGATAGAAACTTTACTTAAAACCTCCAAAGAGACCCGAAGTTAAAACAAAAACAGCAGCAATATTATGTCCAAAGATGGACATACTCATAAGGGGTATTGTAGAGCATCTCCGGGCCTCTGTCAAGAAAATGATATGTGAAAATCAGATATCTACTTGCTCTTAGAGATATTTTGTAGGAACACTGTCTAACAATGGAAAGTTTTTGCACTCAACTGTTTTAGACTAATGACAGGATTGCAGTAGCTATACTGCTTGACTCAAGTTAACAACAAAAAAGGCCGTACTTTCCCATCTTGAGAAACATGGCTGCTTGCCAGGTGTTCTACAGGTTTTTCTACCCTCAACTATTGTGGCATCACCTTTCACCTATTGTATAGTTACTTCCTGTTAGCGTTTTATTGTTCACAGAGAGTCACTGATGAAATCCCCCACAACATTTGAGAACTTTGGTATTACAATGTCACATTAAAAAAGGATAGGATACATTTCACGATTAAATATTATGGTGATAGCTCTAAAATATTTCTGTTATTGTCTACTCTATCAGTGATACTGCATGTTACTACTTACTATTATCATATGACAGATTAAAGGAACACTTCACCTACAACATGATCATTGTGTGCTAATTACTCACCCCATGTTCTGTTGAATTTGTGAAGAGAACTTTGTTTTTTTTCACATGCTTCTACGGTGAATGAAGGATCCAAAAAAGGCGAGCATTGCAGATGAATTGGCATCAATGGGGTCCACATTTAACAAAAGCAAAAGTATAATCCAAGTATCATTTATCCAGTTGTATGCTCAGTACTTCCAAAACACGTGTATTTTCGTTAAAGCTTTACCACTTAAAATACTTTTACTTACACGTAGTGGGCCTGGGCAAGCGTGTGGTTTTGAATTCTGCTTGTGCTTTCCATGGAGCACAAAAGCACAGGCTTGCCCAGGTGGACTACTCGTCTATGTGTGAGACTCTTCAAGCATGAGAGCAGTAAAAGTAAAAGTTTGTAAATGGATGTTTTCATATAGTTCTGTTGTTGTCAAATGTGAACCCCTTTTACTCCAATTCATCAGGGATTTCCCTCATTTTTGAATTCTTCCTTTATTGTGGAAGCATGCTGGAAAAACAAAGTTTTCTTCCAAGAATTCAACGTAACATGGTGTGAGTACTTGAAATAGAAATTGTCATTTTGTGGTAAAGTATTCCTTAAAATAAAGTATGAACAGAAGGAACCTCAAGCAAAACCTTTTTCAGTGTTCATATGGGCACCTGACAATTGTTTAAGGTCGACTTAAAAAATTGTGGAGCTATCCTTTTAGTCCCTCCTGGAAAATTTCAGTGTTTTGTTTTTTTTTTTAATTATGGAAAACTGCAGCAAAACATTGTGTGCACTGATTAGATGTCTTCCATAATGATACACTACATAACAAATATTTGGAAAAGGCTTTTTGTTCAAAGCGACTTACAATAAGTTCATTTAGGTCCACAGGAACAAGAGCTAATAACAAAAAGCTTGTAGCTCATAATTGTGTGAGCGTTTCTTTTTGGTTGTCTGAAATGGTGAGTGTAATGAACTCTTGTTTCATAAAGGAAGCAGGTAGTACTATATTAAACTAGCAATGTTTATTAATCTCCCTCGTACCTTTTACTCACAAAGAAACGTATAAAGCCAGAAAAGCCAGAAGAGAGCCTGCGTGAATACTCACGTTGAGATCGCCTTCTGTGAAGCACCACCAGCAACAACAGCAACCCTATGATCAACGACCCAATGACCACTACGGGAGCGACTATTTTGGCTGCTGGACCCACTTTCTCTGGCCCCTGCCCAGTTTCTGCATAAATCAAATTGAATAATAAAGATTTAATGCTTTAATTATTCAAGTCATGACCAAAGGGGTAGAAATGTATGTTGTTGAAATATGCTGTTGTTAAAATGAGGTATGCATGCACTGGTGGTGGGAAGTTCCCTCTGTAACACACTGGCAACCTACAATCCCTTTCACTTTTACTGTCACAGCAGTCTGCAAATGACCTTCGCTGTATGTGGCAGCTGTGACAACTGAGCCAACAACACAGATAGGGTGGCTGTGAAGTTGCTATGTGAACCTGTTGATGAATTTTGGGGTCATGAGAATGATAGTGGATCAGAAACTGTGGTTCCACACCACAAGAAGTGTATAGTCTTATCAGACCTGGACTGTCACATAGTTTTCTTTCTTTGTGAGGAGCATTGTTTTGACGCTTTGAGAAAGATGTTGGGTCAGATTGGTGGGCATGTTACAGCCTGGCTATTCATTGAATGTTGTATCAAAACAACTGTGGAAGCACAGACGATGTTTAGTTATAAATGGACAAAAAACATGCCGTAGTAATGCGGGAGAACAAATTGTTTGTTTCTGTCAGCCCTCTACCACCTCCCGTGGCAACTCAAAACATGCATGATGTTGGCTTGTGGTTCAAATCTCTTAGTTGCACAATCCTAAAAGGAGGTGTGCTCATGTAACAGTAGTGGCATCTGTGTTGCTTCAAATTTCTGGTAAAGCATGTCCTCATATGCAACTGTGACATACTTTATGACATTTCACTGTGTGAGGCAGAGCTGAATCAAAAACATATATACCTTGACGTTCTGGTGGTAGGTCTGGAAGCACAAATGTGTTCTCCCCCTCTTTGCCTCCACTGGCATTATACACTATGCAGGTGTAGTTGGAGAACCTGGATCCTGGCTGCAAAGGCAGCTTGCTCGAGAGGTGAAACAGACCACTTCCTGTCTTCTTTGCCTCCATTTGAGAGCTGCTTGTCCACTCATCTTTGAGCTCACTAAACCAGCCAATGCGACCTTTTGGGAAGCCCCCATCAGATTCACACATCAGGGTACCGCCTGTTGTCCCAGGGTCGTAGTATATCTTTGGTTTGTTGTACTTAGCTGCAAAGAGAAAAACATGATCATTAAGCTCAACACTGCACCATGACGTCAATCAAATGACTCCTATAAAGTATCACAAACTTATTTGTTGACCATAATATTTCACATGTACTGTTAATAATATCATATGCTAAGCAAGACAGATAATAAAGAAACTGGCCCTACAAGTATTTCTGGATGTAATTCTTTGTAATGTTGAAACTGAATCTAAGTTAAGACAGAAAGGGAAATACCAAGCGGACAGGCCAGGAAAGTCCCCAGGATCTCTAAACAATCTTCACTGCGTCAAGGCAACAATTAAATCTTTTAAGTCCATTTTCTGTTTGCAACTAGAATGCATTGTACTGTTTACAGAAATAACTTTGCTCATGGGTCGAGTCTGCAAATGTGCTGGTAGGCATTGGTTTTCAAGATACATTCTTGACTCAAAATGGTCATCTCTCTGTGACAAAATGTCACAGCTACAGGCTCTTACCTGTGACATCAAGGCTGATGTCGGCAGTGTGATCACCGCTGTCTGTCATTACATAACAAAAATAATTTCCGCTGTCCTTTAGAGCAGTGTTGGTGATGAGCAGGGACACGTTCATGTTTTGGACATTCCAGGATGGCTCAGCAAACTTGTAGCCTGGCTGCAGTTGCTTTTCCCCTCTGTTGTAAACCATCAAGGGTTTGTTATCTCCTTTTTTCCTCCAAGTGACCACGATGATTTTTGCGTTCACTACATCTGCTGTGGTTCTGACAACACACTCCAGCAGTGACTGCTGGCCATACTGTCCCGTCTGTTGAGCCTTGCATTCCACCTTTACAAAATCTGTAGGTAAAAAAATATGGTACATCAGTAGCATGCAGCATTTCATCCTTGAAACTCTCAGATTTAAGCAGAATTTACCTGTATCTGCATTTATGCTGACACAGATGAGAGCGAAAATAAGCAGGATACCCATTGAGGCCATGTTCATTTACCTGAAATGACAAAACATACAATTCTTTAGGTGGGAAACAGATAAAATGTAACAACGGCAAACATGTTTCAACTCAAAAAGCATCTATTTCTGAGAATTAAAGTGCAGTGTTCAAAGGACAATCAAGTTCCCAGTGCAAGTTCACCAAGTATTACACATACTTAGCATAGCCCCACTTGGGTCTCACTACCTACTATATATTTATCATTATGCATTAGAGGCCAGTGTGTGAGGGGCTGGTGAAAGGTAGCATGCTCCACACCACCACGCTTTGATAGTTATTTAAGATATTTCAACAACAAGAGATAGATTCAATGTTATCTGGCGTTTTCTTTATTTATTTAAATCATTCTTCGGTTTTAATTATTTCATTAAAAACTGGCAACTACCCCATGATCCTTTTATATAGCAAATTCTTAACTCTGGGCACATTCTAATAAAACTCATCACCAAGGCTGTCTTATGAAAGACATGATTCTGACATGGATCACATCACGAGACAAACAGCGTACCTTAATAGCAATTAAAAATGTGGTGTTCCAGGTGATTCTTATGCCAATTTGTACTGCAAAAACTCAGAAAGAGCATAGTGCAGGTCAGGCTTGTTCTGCAATTAAGTTTCCAGTGGCTTTAGTGTGCGTGATGATGATCTTACAAAGCATGTCACTCTGTAGATGGAACCCACAACTGCCTCCCATAGATGACTGTGTGGGAAGTTAATCAGTCAGCAGGCGTGGCTTTCAGCTGTTGTGCTAACAGATGCTGGTAAGAATTAAAGCATAATCTTTTCTTTGCCTTTTTGTTTTCACACAATCTGATTTTTTCTGTGCTATTACAAAAGGTTTGTTTGCCTTCACAGTTGAAAGCCATGAAAACACAACACAGGTGTGCTGTAAGTCACACACTGCTAAACTGGTCTGAGCAGGTGAGCGGCCTACTTAGCCAAATGTGGTCAGTCTTGGAAGCAGAATTAAAATCAAAGTGACCTGCTAGACTGCCAGTGGCGATACCCTCTACTGTGGCAAGTCAGCAAAATATCAAACCAGCACAGTTAAGGAAAGAATCTCAGTGACCCTCAGAAAAATGCAACATCACTGGTTGCAGAACATGGACTGTATAACATAATGGACGTAGCTACCGTGACGTCACCCATCGGTTTGTGGACTGCTGTTTTGAAGCATTTTCAACAAGGATGTATAAAGAGAACTGGAAACAGCGTTGGAGGTGGGCTCCCGTCCATTTCTATGAAAGTTGCTCTGTAGCACATAAAGCTAAAAACATTGCGGCATGAAATCACCCGGATCTTCCACATTGTGGGGCCCATAGAGCAAGTACAGTAGAGACATACAGTAACGTCTGGTTTTAGATCTCCCCTAACTTAAATGGGGATAAAACAATTTAATCTTGCAGCTCTTCTGGACTTCTGAAATGTTATTGGACTGAATGGAATCCTGATAGTGAAACAAGTCATTCTGCTGGGGTTGTGATGCTCAAAAAAATGTATCCACTGATTTACAGACGTCTCTTTCACTATGCGAGTCTTTTGGGCCCCATGGCATCATGTGACAGACCCTGAAGTTACAAGTCTATGTTTGGCCACTATGTAAAATTGGCTTCAAAGCCCAGCACAGTTCCCCGGGATTTTCAAACCTCGAGTACGGTATTTCGGCCCTCAGTATCTTGGTTTTTTGAAGCTTGATGTGACCATATGCGGGGTAAATCTGGCTCATAGACTGTAGCAACACCTCGCAGACAGCCTGTCACTCAAGTAGACCTGCCCTTAAATAGCCTTTGCGTAACCTTAAGCCTTAATAAAATGCAAACAGGTGAGTTATATAAAAATTCATCCCACATGCAGTTGTCATGACCAGGGAAAGGAGCTTTAGAGATCAAAACCATTTTTTTTTTTTTTTAACCAGGCTGGACATTTTAATATGGGTGACTATGGGGACTGACTCACTTCTGGAGCCAGCCCCAACTGGCCATTCAAGGAACTGCAGTTTTTCAACTCTTCTGCATTGGCTTTATTTTTCAGACCCAGAAGAATTGTGCACCACAATTAAAAACATTAACCCATTGTATTTCAAACAGCATTATCATTATTAATTAAGGGTAAACTGAAACGCTAAACTTTTTCTTTGGGGAAACCCCTAAACTGTTTTCCCACACAGAAATAGACTGTTAGTAATTTCCAGAACTTTTTCATGTCATTAGTTTCCCATCCCCGTGACATTATTAAAGTTCAACTTATAGGTCAATTTTTCACTGAAAGATCAAGTTGGGGTGGCCAGATGAACAACAATCTTATGAGTGTTTTGTTGCCTTGTTTGTCTGAAAGCACTCATTTTCATTGGACCATGATCGTCCTGATATCGTGGTTGCACAAAGAACAATTTGTAGCTCATTATCCAGCATCAAAATGACTTGTTCCATTCAAAACCAAGATGAAACTGTTTCTTTCAAAACATAAAAGGCGTTTAGAGTAAGTGCACACTGGATCTTTTATGGGGGAGGGAACCAAATCCTTAAACTAAGACTTTGCCTTTTTAAAAATAAATATAACACTTTGAATAAGATGGTTCCAGCTGTGTCACCAATGACTGTTTTTCCCTCTCTTTAAGCATCTTCTAACAGCAGTCAGTATTTTAATCTGAATTTGCTGATAGTGGTCTCTTCTTCTGTTTCCTCCAGTGATCAGAAGATTCTCATACCCTGATATCTATCTTTAGGTCTCAGTTTTCACTCTTGTTCTTTTTTGTAACTTGACTTACTTGAGATACCTTGCATGTACGGGTGCTTTTGTTTGAAAGAGAGAGGGTGAGTTACCCTCACCTGGCAGACACAAAGCACGGGGGGACAAAAAGCAAACCAAGGCTGTGAAGCTGCATGAAATGTAATGAAAAGAACTGAAAGAAGTGAGACGTCCGTAACTTTATCTGTTGTTGAGTTATGTTCTAATTAGGTTTTGTGTTTATTTGCGTTTGAAGGCCTGTGTGTGTGTGGGCTTGGCTCAGTGTTTACTTAAGTATAATTTTTTTCTCTGTTTGTTATATCACCATGCAATTCTCACAGTTGTTTCTCTTTGTTCCTGAGAATCTATTTTTGTAAAAAAGAAAGAAAATCCCACCAGGCCGAAGCAAGATTAAAATAAGTACTGTAATATGTGCAGATTAAAAGCAAACATTGCTTAAACATTAGTTTAAAAACTATTAACCTCTGCCCGACCTTTCTATTCCACTGCTTTATAAAAGACGGAAACAAAGGTCCTGTGCTATTTCACAAAATAAAAAGTTACAGCCAATAATCTATAACATATGTATTCTCCTTAACAGACAAAAGCTAGTTCAACAGCTTTAACCAAATAAGTAATAAAAAAAATATAATAAACAAAATAAAAAAAAATAAACATCCTTTATCCTGTGACGAAACTTGAGCAGCAAAGACGAAGTAAGATCTCTAGAGACTACATTGCTCTGTGAGTGTGTGTTCATTCATGTTTACTTTAATGAAACAGATATATGAGAACTGGATGGTCACTGCCAAAACAAAGTCCCCGTAGATTTTTATAGCCTAAGGTAATTTCCAACGCTGTCCCTAAAGGGGCGTTAAAAAAAAATTGTGGACAAAGTAGATAAGATCCTAAGATAAGACATCTGATCACTTTCACTACTACTGGCCTGATCACTTTTGCAAATCTGTGTCTACTTGGATGAGAAATGATTTTGGCTCCGCAGCTAGGATCCATTTTAAATCCTGGTTGTCTGTATTTGACTTCAGCCATTTAGGAGCGTCTTATCTAAAATGTTTTCTCACTGGCTTTATATTATCTTAAGAACATTAGTGATTAGAGGTGCTGATAACACTGCACAGTACCTTAAATTCAAGGGAAAAAAAACATGAATCTATTTGTCAAATCAATGTGTCTAAATGTATGTTTGCTTCTGCAGTCTTGCTCTTCATTTCTACAAGTTCAGTACTTCAGAAACCTGTTTGACCAGCTGTCCACTAACTTTCCAAGTACACTTGACATTTCATGTCAGCCCACATATTGAAATGGACAAGGAGTCATAATGAAAGAGAAAGTCCACTAAAGAAATGTTTGTAATGCCGCTAAGAGCTTAAGAGTTGCCCCATATTAGGCAATATCCTCTACACTAGAATGGGCTGGGTAACAAATATCTGTGGTGACCCCTTCATGCTGCTTCTCTGAGTTTGTTTTGTCCCTATCAGAGAGTTAAGTACTTTGAGTCGTGAATTTCTGCTCTTTTTCTCTACTCCTGCAATGATATCATGGTTTGAGTGTTTTTTTGTATTCCTGCCTGCACCCGTCCTATCATTTAGGCCACGGACTTGCATTTAAGGACTAAGCATCTTGTGTTGGTGGGCACGATGGCTGGTACACTACAGTCTGGACAATAAATCACAAAGTGAAAGAAGCTACATAAACGTATCTTTTGTTCACAAGTGCTTTCCCAATAGGGTAATCAAGCCACTGCAGATGTGTGGTGGCGGATTCCTGTCTCAATCTCTTGAACACACTGGAGAAACATCTGCGCTCCCCACACAACCACACCATGACTGAATCCATGACATTCTCTTCTGATTGTGACAGACTGAAGATATACAGCACATCCTGCTTACACGCCAACTCAGACTACAGGTCAATTCAACCCTGGCGTTACACACTGTCACACAGGACAGGCCACAGCAAATAATGGTTGTGGTTTTAACAACAGTAATATTGTTTTAAACTCAGTGGTCCCCCAAGATGTGCTCTATGTCGTAATTGTTTTCTCTGTTTATGAACACTGATAATAAGGCCCGGGTGGCCTGGCCTGTCTGTACACTTCCTTTCTGGATACTAAGAGTGTGTGAACGTCCTGACAGTCCTTCCTCCTGATGAGCTCTTGAGGCTCAACATCTGCAAGATGAAGGAGGTGCGTTGTACGTGAATGCTGATACTGACTATTAAAAAACACACTACCTATATATTGGCTGATGAAACATATTTTTTGAAGATATCTTATTGCAATTTCTTATTAAGCATCAGCAAAAAGTTATGAAAATACCAGTGTATCTATGATAAACTAATATCAGTCCATATCGGCCCGGCTGATACATTGGTCAGCACCAGCTGACAACCCTACCCACTTCTTGGATCCCTGAATCTGAAAGGGAAAATGGTGAAACCTTGATACATCCATGGGTGGAACAGATCAGGGCTTTAAGCAATGTTGGCAAGAGAATACAATCCTTCACACTCTGTGTACAGGAAAGCAACCCCTCTTTCAGCTCGGGTAATCTGAACATTGTACAGTAATAAAAGACAGTTCAAACAGTCATCTACTTGTCACAGTACATCAGGTCAACCCTCACTTTAAACATTATATCATTATGCAAATTTCACCCTTTCAAAACTCTCCAACCACACAGTCCGATGAAAACCCATTGTCATTATCACACGAAAGCTCTAACCCCCTCTGAATCATTTATTTCACACAGTGAGGCTGACAAAGTAAAACCCCACTAGCAAGTTTCAAAAGGTCCTTCATTCTGAGACTAACACTGGAGAACAGAGCGGACGGTAACATTACACAATTACACAAACACATACCCCGTCTGTACTTTGCTATCAGTATCTGCACTGCTCTTTTATGGCGGTGCTTTCCGTCTCGGACCTATTGTTATTACAGTAAGACGGGAGCCGAGATTAGCCACCTTTTTATTTCGTGCTTAGGTCCCCATAATCAATATGTTTGGACTATATTCTATGTCTAATTATTAAAGAAGCTTATTTTGTCTGAACCACTGGGCTGCCTTTCTCATCAATGATGAAAATATGCTGTTTTTTTATTTTATTAAATTATTCTTTATGGCAAAATTGGGGTTTTCAAATAGACTAATGATATGCAGTATGTATAAACCCTATACTACACAAGATGTTAAGTCCTTGCAAAAGAAAACACCATCAGCACGTCTATGTGTTATTAGGGACAGCTCACTACTTTTGAGGGGGTGAGGGTAGGGTGCAAAACAGGGGAGGCATGTCAAATTTTTTTAGGCAATGAGAGAGACTTGTGTTATTTATTTAGGCTTCCCGAGGGAACAAACAACTTCAAATGGTTGAATTTTGTGTTTATTTGAAATACCCTCTGAACCCCAAATCCTGCTGTCAGGTTTGAAAGGTTTTTTAAAAAAAAAAAAAAAAAATTGCCAAAATTACAACAATTATCATAGCCACAGACTGTAAAAACAGGAATTAGCATTGGATTTTCAAATTTCTGATTAAGGCTTCCATTATCATAATCACTTAATTCTACGTTTCATTTCAAATTTTGCCAAAAATAAACCACTGGCAAAAACACTATCCTGTAAAACATTAAACTCTGCACTCCTGCCTGCATGACACTGGTGAAAGTCAAGGCTTTTTTCATCTCCAAAACTACTGTTCTGTTATGCGAGTTACTGATACTGAAACTGTGCAGTTTATCCGGGCAAGCAGCTGTTATATCCTCATGTCGCTAATGCCAACTGTGTGCATGCTGTAATGTTTGTGTGTGATGTGTAAGCTTATTACATTTCATTGGTTTTGTCTGGAAGGAGTCCAGTCACACCCAGTCCCCCTTCTCCTCTGATAAGTCAAGTACAGTCCCTTAAAGCACAAACGTCCTCCCCCCAGACTGACTAAAGATATCTCCCGTTGAGTTTAAATCCGACCTACTTCGTGGAAATAATGACACTAGCAACTGGTATGTGATAAAGCATGCTTCCTTACACATGTTCAGTTCTTAAAAGTGAGCAAACCAGTGGAACCAGTCACTGTGGGAGCTGTCGACAAGGAAACAACCACGTTCATGTGTCGCCTTCACTGCAGTCTGACACCTTGGCGTCGCTTGTGCTGTGTATGCAAAACTTTTTGCGCCTCACTCCAACGTTCCTCTTTATTTATTCAAAAAGAGGAAGCACTGTCAAAACTTGATAACGATGCCAGTTCATAGTAACCTGTAGGTTTAAGGTGCCAAAATGGTACCATGGAAGGGTTGGAGACCATGTTAAGTAAACAAATGGTTGTTAAATTTAGAGCAAAGCTGAGCGCACGAGGGGAACTGAACACGAGTGGAGCCATGTCCCTGTATAGCGCCTTTAGAAAAAATATTCACTGATAATTTGACACAAAATACTTTTTCTGTCGTTTCAGTAAAACTACAACATAAAATACAGTACTTAACAACCATGCCGCCATTCATTAACCTAACGTTAGATGATTAGGTTAATTTAGCCGCAGTATTTTTTGCTAATGTCATCTCACCACTTCACTATGTTCACACAGCCAGTCGCAACACGTAGCCGTCCTATAAGACCTGCCACGCAGCCAGTACAGCTATAATGTCATGTCAAACTCACCGTACACGCTCCTCGACCAGGCGACGTCTCTTAGTGGTTGAACAATGGTTGACTAACGACTAAACATCGGAGTGTCTTTGCTCCGGTCCTTTTTTACTTTCACTTTCATTATGAGTAAACGACATGCGTGATTGGCGGCGTAAATGCCAAACCAGACTAACACAATAAGATAAAGGGCAGGGTTATAGTCAGGTCCATAATTATTTGTACAATGATACAGTTGTCGTCATTTTGGCTCTGTACACCACCACAATGGGTTTTAAATGAAACAATGAATACCTGCTTAAAGTGCAGACTCTCAGCTTTCATTTAAGGCTGTTTTCAAAAATGTAGTATGAACCGTGTAGGAATTACAACCATTTCTTCACACAGTCCCCCAACTTTAAGGGCTCATAAGTATTTGGACAAACTAACATAATCATCAATTAAACAGTCAGTTTTAATACTTGGTTGCAAATCCTTTACAGTCAATGACTGCCTGAAGTGTTGGACACATAGGCATCATCAGATGCTGGGTTTCTTCCCTGGTGATGCTCTGCCAGCCCTTTACTGCAGCCGTCTGCACTTCCTGCTTGTGTTTTGGGTGTTTTGCCCTCAGTTTTGGCTTCAGCAAGAGAAACGCATGCTCAGTTGGATTCAGGTCAGATGATATGACTTGGCCATTGCAGAACATTCCACTTCTTTGCCTTAAAAATGTCTTTGGTTGCTTTTGCAATATGCTTCAGGTCAATGTCCATCTGCACTGTGAAGCATCGTCCAATGAGTTTTGAAGCATTTAGATGAATCTGAGCAGATAATGGTGCCCCAAACACTTCAGCTTTCATCCTGCTGCTCTTGTAAGCAAGACAAAACTTCACTAGAATAAATACAGAGGGTTTATCACAAGATGCAAACCATTGGTTAGCCTTAAAAATGGAAGGCCAGATTAGAGTTTGTCAAAAATCATCTAAAAAGCCTGTACAGTTGTGGAACAGCATACTATGGACAGATAAAACAAAGATCAACTACCAGAATGATGGGAAGACAAGAGAAGGGAGAAGGGAAGGAACTGCTCATGATCCAAAGCACACCACCTCATCAGTGAAGCATGGTGGAGGTACTGTTATGTCATGGCCATGTATGGCTGCCAGTGGAACTAGTTCTCTTGTATTTATTGATGATGTGACTGCTGAGAAGAGCATCAGGATGAAAGCTGAAGTGTTTGGGGCACCATTATCTGCTCAGATTCAACCAAATGCTTCAAAACTCATTGGACGATGCTTCACAGTGCAGTTGGACATTGACCTGAAGCATACTGCAAAAGCAACCAAAGACATTTTTAAGGCAAATAAGTGGAATGTTGTGCAACGGCCAAGTCATATCATCTGACCTGAATCCAACTGAGCATGCGTTTCTCTTGCTGAAGCCAAAACTGAGGGCAAAACACCCAAAACACAAGCAGAAGTGCAGACGGCTGCAGTAAAGGGCTGGCAGAGCATCACCAGGGAAGAAACCCAGCATCTGATGATGCCTATGTGTCCAACACTTCAGGCAGTCATTGACTGTAAAGGATTTGCAACCAAGTATTAAAACTGACTGTTTAATTGATGATTATGTTAGTTTGTCCAAATACTTATGAGCCCTTAAAGTTGGGGGACTGTGTGAAGAAATGGTTGTAATTCCTACATGGTTCATACTACATTTTTGAAAACAGCCTTAAATGAAAGCTGAGAGTCTGCACTTTAAGCAGGTATTCATTGTTTCATTTAAAACCCACTGTGGTGGTGTACAGAGCCAAAATGATGACAACTGTATCATTGTCCAAATAATTATGGACCTGACTGTATGTCTGCCCGCAGTTGTTGCACTAACCTACAAAGTCAAGCTAAAATTAAGAACCGAGACAAAATAAGCTCACTGTAATACCTAATAAGGAAATGAATGAAAGAAAGTTTTTAAGAATACCTTTGCACACTTAACTCTTGTTATCATTCTATGTTATTTTATTATTTAAATTATATTATATTCATTGTGTTAAATGCAGCAACTTTGGCAGAACTGTGCAACATTTTATCATGGCAATGCTTTTGGTGTGCAGTGGCGCTCCCAAGAGGGGGCCACAGGGGGGCCATGAGCACCTGAATGTGAATCTGCAAATCCTAGGATAGCCAAGTGTGGCCTTACTCTACCTCTGATTGGCCTACCCTGACATTATCACACTACCCCAACGAAGGCAGTGAGCACTAGCCAATCACAGGGAGCATAGGGTGGGTCATTCCTCCCCAATACTAGGATACGCAAATTTGCCACCTGGATAAAACTGATGAAAAAAATAGGAGGGCAACATTAAGCCTAGTTCACATTACACGATTTTCACCCTGATTGTGCGTCACAATCTTAATCTTTTAAGTGTTCATACCTGGCGACGTGTGCTTCTGTCAGCGGGAGTCTCACCAACTGCGTTACGACCTGTGTGTGCACACCACAAGATTTCTCCACTGAGCCCTCGCCGACAGAGCCCCGGATAATGCGGTGACGTCACCAAACTTGGAGACGACACATCGTAAAGGCATGGATATTCTTTATTATCCTGGGTCCAAACACAACGCGCTCCCCGTGATCCTGTGGATGCCGCCATTGTTGACTTGCTCGTAGGCTTGTTCACACGAGTACTCGTCATGGCAGACTATCTGCCGACTCACCTCCGACCCAAGGTGGCTCTCAAGATCCTCTGCGATGTCAAAATCGAGGTGATGCCCATACGGACATTTACATCATTGCTTCTGTTCATACTGGTCATTACAAGATACCTTCCTATTGCACTTTTAACAAAAATGACTACAGAAAAAAAATGTATTCAAATGTTAGTCTGAGGCTTACATAATACTTAAACATTCTGTCAGTCAAATCAAGTGGATATCTTTCAAAGTTACAACCCTGTTTGTTTTTTTGTATAAAATGTCCTCCTTGTGTTTTGCCAGATTGTTTCCTCCCTGGGCTGTAGTAAAATAATCATAACTGATACAGTGTACTCATTCCAAGTCAGATAATACAAACAGACAATACAACCAATGGTCAAAATTGATTTTTAATGTTCATTTCCACTTGTGCCATTTCTTAATTTCAAATTTCAGCAGTGACTTACATCCAGCAACAGGAATTGGTATAGGATGCAAACACACCTATCTTTTTAACAGACGTTAAAAATAGACACCACAGGGATTACATTTCATGTACCTGAAATGTAGGTCTTCTTGCATGACGGCTGGCTGACACAGCAGTCACACATATGACTCAACAAGACAGAAGCAGGAGGGAGTTGGAATTTTGGTTTAAATAATGTGACAATGAAATGTACAAAAAGACTGTACTATGTTTCCAGTGAGCAGAATGATAAATATATGTATAAGGCGGGGGTAAAACATATGAAAAAAAAGAAAGGAAAAAAAAAAAGGCTGAGCTGTCATAAGGTCACTTGTCAAATTTAGGATGGGTTTACCAGAAACACGTCAGGACCAACAACATGCCATTGCCTCGCAAAGGAAAAACAGGGCTGGTTGACACTGGTAGGATGCAATTACAGAAACCCAACCTTATTTGATGCTGTAGCCTAACACACAAACAGGCACACTTTATTTTAGAGTAAATTTTACCTATAAAAACATGGGGCACTCAAAACCGGCACTGGGGTTACAATAATCTAAGGTTATTGACTACAATATAAAAAAGGCTTATTCCAATTCTGTTACCTGACATGGGATCTATAGTACCTATCTGAAGACAAATGTTTGCATCCTTCAGATCACAATGACAGTCATTTATGTGGCTCCTAAGTGGATAATAATTTTATCAGTAGAAAGATTCCAACTTCATGCAACAACAATACAATTATTCCACAAAAAACAACTAACAAACAGGTTAAAATAAAAAGAAAAATCTTCACAGTTATGTTTCTTCTCACATTCATACGTTACAGACCAGACGTGCATGCAAGATGGGTCAAAACCGAACACAGTGCAAAAATGACAGCTTTCTTTTTTGCTCGTGTTCTGGAAACTCCTTGTATAATCACGCACAGCTTGTGCTGTCGCAATATAGTTAGGGGAGATTAATTACTTTTTGTTGATATGAGGGTGTGATCCTTGTACCCTGTCTGGCAGGTCTAATGCATTACAGGGGCAAAGGCAGACTTTGAACCTTATACATAGAAATACATAAAGTGCTTCTGTCAAAACAAACAAACAATAAAAACAGTACAAAACAGTTTTCAAAAAAGAGGTATCAAAACAATGCACTTGGGGATGTGGAGGACAGTGGTGTCGACTGGACACCAGTTAGGATTCCTGCGGTACAGACAAAGGGGGCGGGGGTCCTTGTTTTTTAAAAAAAAAAGATGAGTTCAGAGATGAATGGATGTAAGAGGGGGGGAGTTGGCTGGGATTCAACCCAGGATGAGGCTGGACTTGCCCCCAGGGGGGTTCCTGCGACCGGATGGTACTCCCGCAGCGGGATCGTCAGCTGCAGGGGCCTCTTCCTTCTGCTCTGGAACTGCTTCAGGCTCAGGAGCACTGTTTTCTAAACACAGGCAGGGAGGCACGTGACTTTCAGTAACATCTGAAAACATTAACAGGGTAAAATTCACTGTCACTTTGTCACAAGACCACACCTCACCCATTGGAAGCTTGCCAGGCTCAACCACATCATTTTGTAAATGCAACCATTGCCCTGAGGGAACTCACAGCTTGTATTCACATGATGTGGGAGCGTCAATGTCGTCTGGATTTTAGCAGCCTCAGCCATGCAAACAAGAATGTTTCTTTTACTCCTGCTTTATTCTTACACTGCAATACAACAACAATGTCGTTTTGGATTTTCCATGTCTTCTGCATGGATCATGAACATATGATGATGCTGACTTTCTGCCTGGTACGCGTATGCATATCTATAAAAAGATTCTCTTTTTAAAACAAGTCAGCAAGAAATATTATATGGATCTAGCATTTATTGGCTAATTAGCTACAGCAGATAAAGTCTGTCAGCAAGTTTTTATTTCAGATGGCAAAGCGACAGTCACTGGCTGGAAATAAGATGCTGCTTTTGTCTTCTGCAATTTAAGGA